ACACACACACACACACATGCACACAAGCACACAGCTTCCCTAATGCTGATATTACTAGCATGAGTCACCTTGCTGGGGTTTGTTCTGGACGCTTGTCTAGCCCCCACCAGGGCAGGCCCACTCTGGCTTCAGGTTCTAGCAGTCAGGTGATGCTGCAGGACTGGGCTGGGCATCTGGCTGGCCTTCGGAATAAAGACTCTTGGGTTTTAACTTGGAAAGGGGAACATTTGCCTGAAGACAAGTATTGTGTCTCAGGACCCCTTCTCCCCCAAACACAAACTCCGTGATCTGTGTAAGTCAGAGGCGGTCTCTGAGGGCTTTCTGTTCTTCTTTTATATTATCTATGTCTGTCTGTCTATCTATCTATCTATCTATCTATCTATCTATCTATCTATCTATCTATCTATCTACAGGGTCTTGCTATATAGTTCAGGCTGGTTTAGAATTGGTGACCCTCTTGCCTCTGTTTCTCAAGTGCTGGGATCACAGGCCTAGCTTTGGCTCCCTGTGTTCCTGATATTAAAAGTCACCAGTTCTCAAGTGTACTTGGTGAAGTGACATTTCTCAAGGCCCTGGGCCCTGTAAGAGCCACTCTCTAGCCTCACCTCTCTCCCACCCCCTCTTCCTCTCTGCCTCAGGGTAAAGAGAAAAAAGCAGGCAGTCTGACCTCACACTTCGTGTGCCACATCCTGTTTTCAGATTAATGAGTTCATATGCTGGAAATTTACCAAGGGAAATAGTTTAATTTTGGAAAGTACCAAAAACTCATCTGTAGTCACCCGCTTAATTTTGGGGGCTCTTGAAATAGAGGGGGCATCACCGGAGGATCACTAAGTACAGCCAGGGAACAGAAATTGAAAGCCAAACCTGGAGATACTTCTGCTTCAGAAAGAAAATAAACCTTTTGAAGACCACCCACCTCTGCTCAGGGCACTTGCTTTATTTTTCTAAGAAATTTCAAAAGAGAAATCATCTCCCCGGCCAAGGCCTCAGATCTGTGGCCTATGGCTGGGGCTGTGATGGGGGATCAAGGAAGCAGACTCAGGCTGAGGGGTGTGGCTTAGCTGATGGGGTGTGTTTGCTCAGTATGCAGGAGGACTTGGGGCACTCTCCAGCACCACGGGTGGCATGGTGGCAAAAACCTGTAATCCTAGCACCCAGAAGGTGGGTGAAGGGGATCCAGAGTTCAAGGTTATCCACGATTATATAGAGAAGCACTGATTATGTGTGCCTCCAGCCATTCTCTTCCCTCCCACACCTCTCCCTTCGGATCTCAGAAGCATGGACCACAAAGGTTTCAGGGTCCATTCCCCAGCAGTCAGACCTTTGACATGAAGGGCACTGCCTGGCTCCACAGTCTGTGGCACCCGAGGAGCAGTTCAGGACTGGATGGCAAGGGGGATTCTGGGTAATTAGCAGGGTGTGAGTCACTGCATTGGAGAGCAAACCCTAGAGCCTTTTCCAAGTGTCTGGCCTATTAGAGTAAGATGCATGGCCGAACTCTAGCGTGCAGAGCAGGAAACTGGTGAAAGCTGAGGAGGTCCTGGCCACTTGTGTTGCCATCCCCTACCCCTCCCAGCTCCGTACAGATGCTGCACAATGAGCACTGAGCCGGCAGCTAAGGAGTCTTCTGTTTTGTTTTATGTTTCTCAGTCACACAGTAGTTTTCTGCGAAAGGACGCATAAATGAAATGTAGCAATGCAAGACGTAATAGTTTATAGAAGTCTTTGGTGTCCTCTGTATATTCGTGTGCAGGTGCATGTGTGGGTGGAGGTCAGAGGTCAGCTTTGGAGTTCATCCCCCAGGAGCTGTGCGTCTTGTTTTATAGAGACAGGATCTCTCACTGGAACCTGGGGCTTACAGGTTAAGCTAGGTTGGTTGTGAGCAAGCTCCAGCAAGCCTTTTCTCCAACTCCAGCTCTAGAATACAAGTGCATAGCACCATGCTGAGTGTTTGTATGGCTTCAGGGGACTGGATTTAGATTCTCAAGTCTGTGTGGCAAGCACTTTACTGACTGAACTAGTTTATAGAACTCGTTTTTGTTTTTTGAGACAGGGTTTCTCTGTGTAGCCCTGGCTGATCTTGGAACTGTAGACCAGGCTGGCCTTGAATTCAGAGGCCTGCCTGCCTCTGCCTCCGCAGTGCTGGGATTAAAGGCGTGGGCCACCACCACTCAGCTAGAATTTTTTTTAAGGCAGAAGATGACCTTAGCGTTGTAGAATGTTGTTTTAACTAAGCAAGGATGTGTTACACTTGTTTGTGCTGCAGAATGTCACTTAAACTGTGTAAAGGTGTGTTTCCTTTGTTTGTGCTGCATGTGTTTAATTATGTAAAGATGTGTTGCATTTGTTTCACCTTGCCTGCCTAAGGCACCTGATTGGTCTAACAAAAAGCTGAATGGCCACTAGCTGGGCAGGAGAAAGGATAGCTAGGGCTGCCAGGAAGAGAGTAAATAAGAGGAGAAATCTAGGCCAAGAAGAACAAGGAGTGAGAGAAGGAGGAGAGTGAGGGAGAACCAGGGAGACTCCCCGGGCAAGAAGCCAGGCAGCCGCCAGCCAGCAGACAGGAGAAACAGTGAAAGCGAGCTATACAGAGGAAGTTATAAGCCCTGAGGCAAAAGGTAGACAAAGAGACACAGGTTAATTTAAGTTAAAAGAGCTAGCCAGAAACAAGCCTAATCTAGACCAAGCATTCAAAACTAATAATAAGTCTCTGCGTCATGATTTGGGAGCTGGTTGGTGGCCTAAAAGAAAAAGCCTGGTGCACCTTAGAAACCATAACACACTGAATTTTCCAAACTTTGTATTGTCTACAAGATCTTGTTTTCATATACCCTCAAAAGGGGCCCAAATACACAAAGCTGATGAGAGACTCTTAAAGCAGGACAGGTGGCCAGGAGCCTGTCAGGGGGCTGCTCCCTTTGTCCCCCTCTGAAACGCAATCTGAAAACAGTGCACAGAATCAGAGGTTCTCAGGTGAGCTGTGGGAAGGAGTTCTCCATGGCCCCCTGCCTCTGCTGCCCCGTCAGCCTGCCCCTCCCCCGACAAGTGCACCTTCACATGTGTCCTAGAGCTCATGATGGAGCTGCTACAGAGTCACCGGCGTCACCAGCCTTCCACCCCAGCCTGGCACGCTGGGGTCGGTGGGTGTGCTAAAAGCAGTAGCAATAAGAATGAGCGGCTCCTTTAGTTCCGTCATGGCTCTGAATGCATCACATTCATTTCTCTGTGTAGTCTATAATACTACAGAAAGTTGGGGAGCAAATGAGTTTTTCTTTCCCAAGTGAGAAAACTGAGCCCCAGGGCAAATAGACTCAAGTCGAACAGCCAGTGATTGGCAGCTTGGGAAGGGTCAGCATTCACTTCTAGATATTTTCGATGTGAACCCAGACAAAGCTGGGATCAACCCTGGCATTGTTCCTCTGAACCCCAGTTTCCTTGCTTGTCACCTGGCAAAGTTACAGGATGGAGGCTATACTTCTAACAGTGCTTCGCATGCTGACGTCACTGGGGGGGGGCAGGCAGTTGGGAACTGTGGGGCCACCTGACTCCATATCCCTAGCACATTAGCCTGTTCTTCAGCTTCTTAACTCTTGATGCTTCCTTATCAAGCTGCTGACCTTGAATCATTAACTCACCTCTCCACGTTACAGAACTGTTCTGAGAGTCGGACACTGGGGAAGACACAGCTTCATTGGGTCAAAGGTAAAGGTCACACAGACAAGGTCCTGGTGCCCTGGTGGCTGCCTCCCGGAACAGGACAATGTGGAGGAGGAAGTGGATGAATCCGCTGGGCCAAACGCAGCCATCCGACACGGTCCTGCTTGTTCACCCCTCCTAAAATGTAGAACCAGAGTGGACCTCATTGCCGGTACTGGGCAGAGTCAAAGACCCCCTCAGTGCCCTCCTCCCCCTCACTGCCGAGGCTTGTGCTCAGAAAAGACGCTTCCTGTCACTGCCGGCGCAATCTCTGCTGACTTCTGACTCACGATCGATCGAGCAGATAGATGAGTGCCGGCCACCAGCAACAGCAGGTTAGGAGAGCAAGTGCTGGGTCCTGGGGTGCAGAGGCGCATCTCAGGCGTTCACATACAGCGGCTGTCCACAGCAGAGAAACGCCGCAGCGAGCTCAGGAAAACCAGACAGACGATTGCAGATTGTGTGTGTGTGTGTGTTTGCTTAAGTGATAGTTTTAAAATGTCCTCCTTGTTCTTGTTATACACAACTGGAATTAAAACACTCCCTCCTTGTAGATTTCCCCCTTTTCTGCTTCAGCAGCATGTCTGAGCACACCAAATTATAAGAAACGAGGTTGATGGGTGCATGGAGTTAAGTCTCGAGGGGGGCGGCCGCCATTGCCTGTCGTGTTGTTTCCCAGTTTACCCGTGGGTGACCCCTGTGCGCCTATCTTCCCTCAGGGAGCACTAACAAGACTGCTCGTAAAACATTCACTTCCGGGCCAGGGGGATGGCTCCAGGGCAAAGGCTTGCCACCAAGCCTGACAAGCTGAGTTTGATCCCTGGGGCCTACACGGCGGAAAACAGAATCAGCCTGAACAGAAATGTGTCACCTGGCCTTCACATTTGCCACTGTGGAGTGTGTGTGTGTGTGTGTGTGTGTGTGTGTGTGTGTGTGTGTGTGTGTATGCACAGGCAAAAATGAATAAATGTCTTACTTCAGGAAACAACAATTAAGGAGGACGTAATCATCATCAGAAAACATTAAGTTTGTCTTTGACCTTGCCCTTTGGGTATTGTAAAGTTATAAATAATGTTCTAGTAAAACACTCTTAAAAAAAAAAAAGCCTGGGTTTGTCGGAGGCAGACTCTGTATGGTGATTTCCCTATCTTGGCAGACCAGACTCTAAGCTTAAAAATGCCCAAGCACTCCAGAAGTTCTCTGCGTTCTAAGCACTGGCTCCCTGGGATTTTTCCAGATGGCTGTTGAGGGGACACTGAAGGCCATGTGGATGTCATAGAATGGCGCTCAGGAGCAGATGGCAAAGGTCCAGGAGAAGAGCTTGACAGGTAAGGACAGGCCTGAGATGCCCACATGGGAAGGCCACAACCCTAGCCCACTTCTCTGTGCCTTCTCTGGCCACCAGGGACCCTGTTCTATGAGTCTGTTTGCTGCGTGCCAATCCGTTCTTTCATGGGCTGGGAATTCAAGGCTCTCCTCATGGGTGGGAAGGGAGCAGGGCCCTGATTACTGCTCCACACTCACTGCAGGTGTGTCTCTCCTGGCTATGGGCTAGTGCAGAAGAAAGGGCGCATACCGTAAACCAACTCAAGGTGGCGTCCGGTGGGAGAGCGATGCAGCCTGATGGTCCCGGGGGAAGCAGAACAAGTTGTATCAGGAATCAGGGTTCTTTAGAGCAGTGATTCCCAGCCTGTGGGTTGCAATGCCCTTGGGAGTCAAATGACCCTCTCACAGGGGTCACCTAAGACCACTGGAAAACACATATTCACATTATAATTCATAACAGTAGCAAAATTACCGTTATGAAGTGGCAATGAAAATAATTTTATGGTTGGGGTCACCACAACATGAGGAACTGTATTAAAGGGTCACAGCTTTAGAAGGGTTGAGAACCACGACTCTAGAGGAACAGAACTGATAGCATGAATCTATATATAGAGAAAAGGGATTTATTAAAATGGCTTATAGGCTATGGTCCAGCTAGCACAACAAAGCCTGTCTACCAATGGGAAGTCCAAGAATCCAGTGGTTGTTTAGTCCACGAGGCTGGGTGTCTAAGCTGGTCTTCAGTATACGCCAGAATCCCGAAGAAGCAGGCTCTAATGTAAGTGAAGAAATGGACTTTCTAGCAAGGGTAAGATCAAGCAGACAGACAGACAAAGAGAAAGGGGAGGGGAAGGGGATCTCTCCTTCTTCCATGTCCTTTACATAGGCTGCCATTAGAAGTGTGGCCCAGGTTAAAGGTGGGTCTTCCAATCTCAAATGAGCCATTTAACTAAAAATCCCCCACAGGTATGCCTGGTGACTGAGTGTTTTAGTTAACGCTAGATCCAGTCTATTAAGAATCACACACGGTGTGAGGAGGAATGTTTCTCAAACCTGCAGGAATGGGGGAAAACTCTCCCATCCTTGTATCGTACATCCCTCCCAAAAGTGGGAGAAGTTTCTCACCATATCCTTCATTATCCACACCCTGCTGCTGGGGAAGGGGTGCAACCCACCGGTTTAGGGGTTTGCTCTCTATATTTGGGCTTGCAGTAGTACCAGGAACCATGGTAAGAAAATGCTGGAAGGTTCTACTAAAGGCCCAGCTTTTTTGAACTATGGCCTTCAATACCTTTTTTTCCTTTTGAGCGAAGCTATGTGCAAACCTTCCTCTGATGGATAGCTACCTCTCACAGCTCAAGCTAGGTGAATTCCCAGCACAAGCCAAGACTTGGGAACAGGGAAGCAGGCTGGAGTGAAAGGATGAGGTCCAGGGCAGCAGCCTTTGCTCTTCAAAGAATCCGAAACCGGGGGCCAATCGACCTGTGAAAGTGAGGTCCCTGTTTGGCCAACCTTTCTGCCTTCTTTGCCTCACACAGGGGAAAGCAGAGCCCAGAGAGAAAGCCGAGCATGCACAGTCTGTCCAGGGCCAGGTGCATCTTCTTCTGTCTTCTCTCGCCTTTTGTCCAGAACATCTCCGTAATACCCTATGCTTTGGTGCTGATCTCTCTTCAGCACAGTTTCCTGAGGGCCAAGGGGCAGGACAGATACGTCTCTGAAGGGCCTGTCCCTGCCAAGCCTGCTTCTTACATGTAGTGGGGGCTCAGTTAATGTTTATTGACAGGGATGAATTTGTCATCCTAAGAGAACCCAGCGATACTAGGAAGAGATCACTCCTGTGTTTCTCATTTGTGAGCTTCCAAAATGTATTTAACAAACTCATTTTTAAAAGAGGGCTAAATACTTTCTGGGGAGACCATTATCTCCCCTATTTCAGACCCATTCTTGCAATCTTTTGTGTGTGCGTACATGCTTGTGTGTGTACATATGTGCATGTGTGTGTGTGTGTGTGTGAGCACACAAGAGCCTGAGACTGGTGCTGTGGTGAGGAGGCAGTGATCACTCTGCCTCATTGTTTTGAGATGAGATCTCTCACTGAACCTGGAGCTCACTGATTTGCTGTGTGGCCAGCATCCCCTGGTGCCAGCATTAGAGATGCAGGCTGTTGTGCCCAGCTCTTTGTGTTGGTCCTGGGGATCCAAACCCAGGTCCACATGCTACCGTGGGAAGCATTTTACCAACTGAGTCCCTCGGGCCCCCACTTACTACTTTCTGTAACTACTGTCCAATCGGCAGCCTTAGATCTCCGCGGAGGGCAGGCGACTCACTCTGGCCTCTGTTGAGACCGGAGCTTGTGGGAAGGCCAGCCCCTCCTGGTCCTGTCCTGCTTCTTCCCAGAGAACATGTCTGCACACAAGCACTCCTGAGCTGCCTTGGATCCCCTCCAAGGACTTCCCTGGAAACCAGCCAGCATGGAGAATGCCCCTGGGAAGGACACATCTATTGAGAAGCAGAAGCCGTGGCATGCAGGCATGCACATGCTCGTGTCTGCAGAATGCCCCAAAGGAAACTGGAAATGAGGATTTTTCTGCGAAAGATCTTGATTTCAAAAACATACCATAAGCAAAAGCCAAAACAAACAACAATAACAACAACCCCCCCCCCCAAACCACATGAGATTCTCCATATTTCCTTTCTATGGGCTACTGTGTGAGAGCTCTGGTCTAGCCTGGCATTCCACAAACACATCCCAAGTGAAGGTGTGAGAATGATGGCGTGCCACCCACCCAGGGCATGCTCATTCTCTGTGTACCCGGATGTGTTTACATGACAAGGGCCATCACCAAAGTCAGCAGGCAAAAGCACCTTGTCCTAAGTGCTGCCATTTTGACTTCAGATTCCATTTTACCTATAGGGTGAAACCAAGTTCAGAGTCCCAAGTCCTACGGGAGCTGGGAACCTTCCAGTTAGCTGACCCACCTCCTCCTCAAACCATAGACATAGTTCTTACGCATTCTTAGTTCTTTAGAAACATTAAGGCTGTTCCTAACAACAGAAGGAACAAATGAATCTGATTGGTTGGACTGAAAGGCTTGCCAATTGTGTATCAGTTGACAGTGACGGAACATCCAAGGAGTCCCAATTTCTAAATCCTGATTGGTGAAAATTTTAACTGTAACTTGGCAACAAATGTTCATGATTTTTATGCCTAAATACTTGCTTCAACTGGCATTTGGGGTTGCAGTTCGGCACCGAAGTCTGTTCTGGGGCCCTGACTGATCAGCCCCCCCCTCACCCCCCCACTTTTGTGCTGCCCTGCATTTAATCTTGCTTTTCAGTAACCTCTTGTGTCAGCTTGGGTTGATTCGGAGCCTCAGACCACAACACACTGGAAACTGACACACGCATGCTATCTCCCATGATACGGCCTTAATAGGTACATTTCTCATCTAAGAAGAGTGAACGTCAAGGAGATCGCTAAGCTTGTGCAGCTGGAGGGTGGCTGGATTGGAATATAGGTCGCCTGATACCAAGTCAGTGTCCGCCAACACACTCCAGCTGCCTCCCAGACACCAGAACTGAGATTGCCTGCTAGTTTGCTAAGCCCCATGAGTTTAGATATTGTATTTTATTTGATTATTGTTCCCAGCAGAACGTAGAAGTCATTCAGTAAATAATGTGTGGGATTGTACCCACAGTTTCACACAAACACATGTCCAGACATGGCACACAGAAACACATAACCCGTCATGCCAAGAATGTGTGCACTCCCATGCTCCGACATTCACATTATTGTCCTCATCTCTTACTTCCAGGGCATCAGAGCCGAAGCTGGGCTACCCCAACTGAGTTCTTCCTGCCAGCCCTCTGCCAGCCTTGCCCAGCCCTCTGCCAGCCTCGCCCAGCCCTCTGCCCAGCCTCGCCCAGCCTTGCCCAGCCCTCTGCCCAGCCTCGCCCAGCCCTCTGCCAGCCTTGCCCAGCCCTCTGCCAGCCTCGCCCAGCCCTCTGCCAGCCTCGCCCAGCCCTCTGCCCAGCCCTCTGCCAGCCTTGCCCTGCCCTCTGCCAGCCTTGCCCAGCCCTCTGCCCAGCCCTCTGCCCAGCCCTCTGCCCAGCCTCGCCCAGCCCTCTGCCAGCCTCACCCTGCCCTCTGCCCAGCCTCGCCCTGCCCTCTGCCAGCCTCACCCTGCCCTCTGCCAGCCTCGCCCTGCCCTCTGCCCAGCCCTCTGCCCAGCCTCGCCCTGCCCTCTGCCCAGCCCTCTGCCAGCCTTGCCCAGCCCTCTGCCAGCCTTGCCCAGCCCTCTGCCAGCCTTGCCCAGCCCTCTGCCAGGTTCTCCCAGCCCTCTGCCAGCCTTGCCCTGCCCTCTGCCAGCCTTGCCCAGCCCTCTGCCAGCCTTGCCCAGCCCTCTGCCAGCCTTGCCCAGCCCTCTGCCAGCCTTGCCCAGCCTTCAGCAAGAGCTTCCTGGAAATCTCAGTGCGGCTGTGACATTCTTCTTCTCTAACCCAGGAGGCAAATCAGCAGTTTTATTTTTCAAAGTCTGGTTTTCATAAACCTGGAATCTTTCTTCTTTTTTTCCACTAGAAATTTCCTTGGCCTCTTGCCTTTCTCCAGGACCTTGGCCTGGAGGTCACACTTGGAGCGCCCTCTGCTGAGCACATCCTCACCGCCTACTGGGCTCTTGCAGAGGGGAAGTGGGTTTCCCCAAGAATGGAATGTGTAATGAAATGGGGAAACCAAGTCAGAGGGTTGCTGAGAGGGGGTGATGCTGGCATATGTGTGCTCATCTAAGTGTGTGCCAATGTGTGCTGCTGGTTGGTGGAGTTGTGTGTGTGTGTGTGTGTGTGTGTGTGTGTGTGTGTGTGTGTGTGTGTGTGTGTTTATTAAAAATGAAAGAAGAAATAATTCTCAGAGTTCTGACTAAAAATCCTGTACTCCACCTGGGGGCCCTGAGTGGGGCCGATGACAGGAGCTTGGGACATCTCTAACTCAGCCTTGTTCTTCACTGTCTATCACATGTACCAGATGAGGGGGCCGAGGCACAGAGGGACATTTAGAGAGGGGAGGGATGTTTTGGGGTATCTGCCCACTGCTAATTACACCTGCAAAGTCTCTGTCCTTTTAACCTTCTTCTCAAGTGGCCTCTGGAGGTGGGTAGTTTTGTTTTTGCTCTGAGATTTGATGCGCGAGAAAGGGAAGGGAGAAATCCTGGGCTTTGAATCCAACCCCGCTGTCGTCTCCTTGCCTCTTGAGTTTCCCCATTTGGTTCCAGGTTCTGTGGGGCCCAGAGTGGAGTCTGAGACGAGACACCCCACAGTGCTCCATCTCAGAAATGAAAGTCCTTGACTGTGACTCTGCAGCGGTGGTGGCCCAGCCCTGGCGGGCTCCCCCACATCAGCTCCTGGAGCTATGAGTGGTACTCAGGTCCCTTAAGGAGCAGGTACATCAGGCCTAGATGTGTCTATAGATACTCAGTTCCACTTTGCAGCTGCCCTGTAAAGAAAGCAGGTTCTGGAAGGTTTTGGGGTTGTTTTTCATTTAATGGGTCCTAGTTAATGAAGCAAGGAAAGGCAGAACACGTTTCAGTGAGGGGTAGTCGCTGCCCTCCCAGGTCCCCTGCCCGCTGCCCTGCTCACCTCCGGCAGGAAGGAACTTGAGACTCTTTTCTGTTTGCTTTTGGTCCTGCCTGGCCTTCTCCTCACTGGTCTCATTTACACAAACACACAAGACTGTCCTCGTCGCCTTTGATGATTCCTGTCTGGAGTGACTTCATTTCAGCACATCTAAATCCTAGCCATTATTTTTAGTTGACTGACTGATTGTTTTCCTGCATGCATGCTCAGGTCAGAGGACAAGAAATTGTAGAGATTGGTGTGGGGAGATGTCTAAAAACCCTGTGGACAAGCCCACACAACCAGAATCAAAGCCCTCCGGAGCCATCTTACAAAGCTTTGGTCAAGTAAGAGTTCTGCAATCGCCTCCACCTCTCCTTACACCCATCTCTAAGCCCAGGGAGGGCAGCAGGAGAATCTGAATATACTCAGTGCTATTGGAGCTCAGGCAGAGAGGCTGAGACAGGAAATGGCATGTCACACGTTTAAAATTTATCACCACGATTAACAACAAAGAAGCCACAGTTAGAAAATGGAGAAGGGAGGTCTTGAGAACAAAAACATCCACCGGTCTAACCTTCAGCTGCAGGAATCCATCTATAGAGGTCCCTGGCAGAATGGTTGCAAAGACTGCATTTTAAATCAAATTTGGAATCTTCCTTTTGTATAGGCCTGAGTGTTAGTTTTATGCGGTGCAATGTTATTCATTAAGTGGCGCTGTTTACCATGTGAGGAAAGCCACAAGGTACAACAAAACCCACTGTAAGAGTTTATTAGGAGAAGGGACAGAGGGGATGTGCTTTAGGCCTGTGGAAGGGTATGCATGCATGGAGAGAGGGGAAGGAGGAGGAGAAGAAGCGGGGAGGAGTCTGTGACTCGCTTTTTATGGATTCCCCCGCACATGCGCATATGGGCTCACATAGCTACGCCACACATGCACATAGATTGTGTGATCACGCTGCATTCAAACTACGTGATCATGCAGTGCACGGATTACGTAAGATGTAAGGCCCCTTGCTTAGCTACTGAACAGTGCATTTGCGGTCATGTAGCAACACTGAGTACTGAATGTTGTTTGCTGGAGTATATGACCATAGAACATCCTACTTCCTAAGGCTGATCAACATAGTCATAAGATGTTCAAGACTTCAATAAAAGGCAGAAACAGGATTCTCTCTCTCATCTGAGTATGTTCATACAGGCACTAAGGAGAGAATGTAGATTCATGAGTATGTGCAATGAGTTTTATTTTCTTGATGTAGGGATTGTTTGTTTTACACTGTGAAACAAATCTCTTCTCTTTAGTTCTTCTAGTTGTGGATGTTTCCTTCTATCCTGTTGATCTTGCTGCTAAGAACACGTATTTTGCCTCAGTCTAAGCCACATAGTCATCAGCACAAAACTCAGCTGGGCATCAGGCTTCCAACGCCCTCCTCTGGGGACCCTGGTTTTTATGGATTATTATGGGGGGGCTCCCTCGTGTGCTCCTCGTGTGCAGGGGATCATACTGGCATACTGGGCAGATGCAGTGGTGAGCTGGTGGGCAGCCCACTCCACGCGGGCATGGCAGCAGGGTGGCGGGTGGACATTCAAAACCCAGAGGCTGCATCCACGCAGAAATGGTTTATTATAATGATGGATAAGGACAAAGAAATGAAAGACAGAAAGGAGAGGGAGAGAGAGGAAAAGGGGAGGGGTTCAAGGGTGCGTAGGAGGGAAGTGGAAGAGAAAGAAACGGGGTGGAGTTTTTCCTTTTACACGCAGGGCAGAGGGAGGGGCAGGATTTCAAGGGGCAGATCAGCATATCAACACTGGTGTCTTCAGGGTGAGGGGTTCCACATCCACACGCTCGTGATGAAAGTTCTATGATACCAACTTCTGACCTGATGTTCTGCTAAGTGTCACAGACTAGGATTCATATCTGCCCTGCTCCAGATCCTGTGCTTAGGACAGAGAGGAACAGGGCAAGAGCCCATCCTGAAGAGGCTTACCGGGGATGACAAACTGTAGGGGCAGGGTAAACTGCCTCGAGGAAAGTAACCGTGCTGGACGTGGGTACCAGGGAGAAGTGAAGGTTGGAGTTTTCCCTCGAAAACGGGTTAGCTTATGTCCCGTCAACACGACAGAAACTGGACTCAGGTGAAGAGGGAGCTGCCTTCATCAGACTGGCCTGTGGGCATGTCTGTGGGGCATTCTTTATTAATGGTTAATGTGGGAGGGCCCAGTCCACTGTGGGTGGGGTCACCCCTAGGCAGGTGAGTAGAAAAGAAAAGAAAGCAGGGTGAGCAAAGCCATGGGGAGCAAGCCAGTAAGCAGCACCTTCCATGGTCCCTGCCTCTGCCTCTGCTTGAGTTCCTGCCCCAACTCTGATGGGAGAGTGTAAGTCAAATAGACCCTTTCCTCCCCACAGCATGGTCATGGTGTTTAATCACAGCCTTTCATCCTCCCTCCCCAGGCATCTCGCCCCGTGTGTAAACAGCAGTGTTGAAGGAGGGAACCCTGTGGAGTTTTCCAGGAAGATGTGCAGGGAAGAGCTGGACCACAGCATCCTGTGATGCCCTCTAGACACACAGCCCTGGATCATGTAGGAGAACTCTACAAGTCTCAGTACCCTCAACTTTTTACCAAGGTAGTGACATCTTCCTTCTGACCAAGTGGCTGATGTGAGCATGCTCTGCACGTGCTGGGTAAGCATGTTAACTCAACAGCAATTAATATAAGCGAACATTTTACTCAGTGTTCTCTACAAGGTGAGGCGGCTTAAGACCTTTGGGGTGGATGATAGATGGCTGGAGAGGTAGCCTTGATTATGACACGGTCTGTTTGGATCTAAACATTACTGCCTCCATCTATCTTGGGCGGGGCACGCCTTCAAACTCCTCACCCTTCCGCACACAGGTTTGCTGTACCAGCTGTCCGTGACCTCCGCCTGCCTCCTACTCAGCGTTCCTTGGATCTTCTACCCATTTTTTGTAGAACATGGTCCCTCACTTTCCTGATAACCCTTCTTAGCATGATTTGCTCAGGGCCTCAAGCCAAGGAGGCTCCACAGGAGGCCCTCTCTGCTGGGGCATGTCTTTCTGTATGCTGTGAATATATGTTGTTCCCTTTGGTTAACAAATAAGCTGCTTTGGTCTTTGGCAAGGCAGCTTAGAGGCAGGCGGGAAATCCAAGCAGAGATACCTGGCTGACACATAAGAAGTTTCTCATCTTTGCAGCCATCAGGGCTGAGAATGTCACTTTCACTTCATGGGTGCGGTTCTAGAACTTTCCTGGGGTCACAAGCCAGGGTAGTTCCACACAGATAGGCAGAAGTTACACAGCAGTAACATGGAGGTTCCTTTGTACTCTGGGGACTGCTCTTCTGACTCAGGCCTCAGCATCTCACTTCTATCACTTCTGCAAAGTAACACCCCCTCCTTTCCCTGTTACTATTTCTGTCACGGAGCTGGGGGGAGGGGACCTCGGGCCACCAACAGGGGAAAGTAGAGCTGGTGCTGTGAATCTGACTCTTGTGGAACCCTGGGCTCAGGGGCTGATCACATGACTTCTGGGGGAAATCTTGAATGTTCACAGTTTATAGCTGTAAGTAGTATGTTCACTAGGAAAGTTTTATTTTTATTTTATTAAAGTTGTCACCTGTGGTATGCCAGGAAGCATGTTACTAGTGAACCATGAGTACCCGAGTGCACTGGTTACCTGACAAAAGCCACGTTAAGGAAGGGAGCGCGTCATGACTGGAAGTTTGAGGGCACAGCGCACAGCAGTGAAGGGGCCATGGTGGCAGGGGCATGGGGCAGCTGGCCCACCGTAGTCAGGACACATGGAGAGACGGGTCTTAGCTCACCTTTCCTTTTGATTCTGTTCAGGATCCCATCCTGTGGGATGGTACCACCTACCTTTAGGGTGAATCTTCCCACCTCAGTGAACCAATAAAGAAAACCCATCCCTCAAGGCATGTTCAGAATCGCATCACCTAGGTTGATAGACCCTATCAAGCTGACAAGCCACTAATCATCACAAGCCACTTTTATTGTGCTTGTGATGTTATCATGTAATCATTTCATGTTATCTGTGTTCTCACTCAAGTCTCACAAAATCCTCCAACTGGGGATGATTAACAATTCTGTTTTTCAGATGTGAGAACTGAGACCTAAGGAGGTAAAATGTTCTTTATTATTAAGCATCTCTCACAGGTGCGGGGACACTGGGCATTATTAGGGCCTGCCCCTCCTTACTCATGCAGTATTTGGGAAGGTAGTGTCTGGACTTTGCTTGGTCATCCCTGGTGCTTGGAGCTCAGTCCCTCTTGGAGAGTCTATGTTATCTTTGAACAGTTCTGGCTGTAGGAACATGCTTTCCCACAGGGAACCTATTTCTCTGTACTTTCTGCTTGCTGTGTGGTGGACGAGCAGCAGGCCCAGGCAGAGGCCGGGCACTTGTGTCCTGGCCCTCTACTCCTCAGCAGCAGAGGCGCCAGGTGGAGGCTCCCCTGGGCCTGCTTTCCTAGGTGAGAACAGCAGATGGCATGAGGCGAACGCTTGTTTGTGGTTTGGACATTCTTAAGGCCACGTAACTCATGACCTCACATCCCCATGTCTGCTCACAGCGGTGGAAACAACGAGGAACGTTCCAAGAAGAGGATTTGTTTCTACCGTCCTGTCCCTGGGGGACAGCCCTGTCAGCTGTGCGGATCCCGGAGGGTCTTAGAAATGAAGCCTTCATCTTGTCTTAAGACCAAACCCCTCCCTTCTCTCTCTCCCCGCTCCTTTCCTCTCATTCTCTTCACTCATTTCTTCTTCCTTCTTATCTGGCTTAGAAGCATTAAAGAATATTCTATTCATTTATCTAATTGTGTATGTACGCATATGACCCTTAAAAAAAGGTCAATTTAGAGGCTCAAACTCATGATCTCATGCTTGCAAGGCAAGAATTTTACCAACTGAACTCTCTCTAGTCCCTTAAAGGAACAGCTTAATCTCCCAATCACAGTTAAAGATCGCGTGTCTGGTAATGTATTTCTCACCACGCTAACTGTGTATAACAAGTTTCAGGAGCAGGAAAAGTCCACAGAAACTTAACCCAGAGTTGCTTTGTGTCTTCAGGAACCTTCAGATTTGTCTACTAAATAGTAGGGGTTTTCCCTTCTGGGAGTTCCCTGCATGGACGTTCGGGGGCGTCTCTGAAACAGATGCATATGTGTCAGAGAGAGGAGGGTGGCCCTTGACATTGACGTTGGCCTGGTGTCTGGGGATTGGCCTGGTGCTTGAGGCCAAGCTATAGTGTTCATTGTGTATTATGTCACAGAACACCAAGGCCAGACAAAACACATGAAGAAAAGAAAAGAGTACCTTTATGATCATGTTTGAGCAGAGAAGAAAAACAAGAACATTGTCCAAACCATAAAAAACATCTGCATCCTCTTTGCTGGCTAATCTGAGAGCCAATGGCTTTTCCCCCCCAACTAGAAGAGAGTCAAGATGTCCACTATAGGGCTGCCCCTGTGTCCAGCCCAGAGCAGAACTCTGCTTCCTTGAAGTCTCCCCACATAATCTCCAGAGCCCAAATTGCATAGTCTTTTCTAACATCCTCTTACCAAGAGGGCTTATGCCCACCCGAATGGTGTGTTTTTCCCCGGTGAAATCAACAAATTCTATTCAATTACAAATGATCCTGCTTGAACTGACCACATGGTCTGCAGCTTTAGATTTCGCAAAGAACGTGAATGTGACGGTAAAGTCCCAGACCCAGGCTGACCTGTCCCTCTTTAAATTCATGACTGGAAACCTCCAGTGGCCTCTTCCCACTGAGAGATGGTGCGTTAGACCATAGTCAGCTCAGTTTCCCTCTGAACAATCTGAACAATCGCCTTCCTTGCAGCCTCAGTTGCCCCTTCCGTCCTGAGTCTCAGGTGATCTCCCTGCTGGTCTCTGAGACATGAACTTTCTCAACACATTTGCTCACCGGTCAGCTTCTGCCTCACATACCCCGCCTCCTGCTGATTGCCACAGTCAAGGAGGGGTATGCTGCTGACCAAGGGTCAGACCCATCTTCCTGCTCTCACACCCATTCCCTGCGTGGTATTCTCCGCTGTGCTTGCACTACGAGAGCTGATCAGCTGCCACAGAGGCCGTACGACCTGGGATGCCTGACAAAGACAAGCAAGCGACCTGCTTATTGAATCCACTCTTCCATTCCTCCTCCTCCTCCTTTTAAAGACAAGGTCTGAGACTCATCAAAAGGGCTAGGGTGGTTGTCTGGAGAGTTCCTGTAACCCACCTGTCCCCACCTGCCCAGCACTGGGGTCTCCGGTGTATGCCACCACCCCAGCTTTTTACAGAATCTGGGAATTGAACTGGCTTTTCTACCTCCCCAGCCTAAGATGAACTTCTTACATCTCAACTGTTTATATGTCAAACTGGCTTTTCCTTAAGAAAAATCTAGACCTTTACTTAATATTTTTCCTTAGAGTTACTTCTGGACACAGTTATGGCAAAAGAAGATTTTAAACCAAGACATACTGTTTCTGTTTTCCTGGGACCTGCTCTATAGAGCTCTACCATAAAAACCGTTGATGTTCTGGTCAACCTCTGGGTTATGTGTCTTCCTCTGCTTTGAAGACGATCCTGCCTCCTCCACCTTCCCAGGGCCTAACATCCTTCTCCAGGAAGCTCGGACAATACCTTCAACTCTCTGCACACTTACAGATAGATACATACCTCATTACACGCATGCACGCATTTGGTTTTGTTTCCTGTTTCCCATCATGAGATTATCAGACGATCTTAGTGCTTTAGATAGAAATGATTAGAATATCCAGGTCCCTGTTTTCAGACAACCAGACAGATTAAGGGAGCCTAATCTACTAATGAGGGGCAAAGCCAAATCTAGAACTTGGATCTTCACATTCTTCACCATCAGTGAGAAACCCACAAGCAACAGCTTCCTGGATCCCTGCCAAGTTCTGGGCATTGTGCCAGGGCCCAGAAATAAAGGTTAATTGAGTGATTGCAGACCTTGCTCATAATGGACTCAGGGTGGCAACAGGCTACGCAATTCTATATGGTTAAATCACGGCAGGTGTACAAGTGCCTTGGAGGAGACGTGCAGTGTGAGTCAGGATTTGGTCTAGTTTGGAGTGTCACGAAATGTGACTAAGGAAGTGTGCTTGGAGGCACAGGGGCAGGGAGCTGTCAACAATTCAGCTGCATTTATGGCCTAAGCTGGTCAATGGACTGGCCTATTTGCCACCATGCTTGGGGACAGAAGCCCAACAGCTCCGTCCCTTGTGCCTTGGAAGCAGGTCCCTTCACTCTTCATTCCACAAGAAGAGGCAAGAGCCACATGCAGGTGTGCTTAGCTGAAGCCTCTCTACTCTCACTTGGCATCTTGGTCATATGCTGTATAGCTTGGCATTGTTTGGGCTTTGACACCAAAAAGCCCTACTTCCTGGAAGTAGAAAAGTCCCTGCCATTGATGAGACAAGCCGTGAAGCCTCAGATAACATCATTGACTTAGTAAAAGGCAGATTCCTTTGGTTCTTGTTACCATGACATCAACTGACCTAGTTACACATTTCTTATGTTAACCCAGCGGAGCTAGTTAGCTTACGCTTAAGAAACTCTGGTTACATTTTGCTTTCGTCTTAGAAAATCAACCAGTGCAAGCTGTGGGCTCTGCAGGGGTGTGGACATGGGACACACTTGGGCTTTTATTTCTGCTTCTGCCTCACACTAGGCTGGGGAATTGCTTCATGTTTTGGAGCCTC